ACACACACACACACACACACACACACACACACACACACACATGGAATATACTATAAAGCAAGTGTACTTCACAGGGCCTGGTTTTCCAAATTCTTGCAGTTTCAAATATTGACCTTGCAGAGGACTGGAAATTTTCCTCAGGCTATAAAGGTCTCTGGTGTAAGATAAAGATTTGTGGCACAGCAAGGTTGCTGGCTCAAGGACACACTAGTTACTGATTGTTATGTTAAAAATACTGAAAAATTGCTGTAGGAAGGAATGTTTGCTAAGATCAAGCTTTTCCTGATAGCCTTACTGGAATGTCATCTGACTTGTTTCACTGAAAGTTACCAGCCTATATTGTTAAACTGTAACCCCACCCATGTTCTCTTCCTGTAACTTCCTGGTCTGGAAAGTAAATGTAGGAAGAGAACCTCAATTCAGGGTTAATTTCCCGAGGAAGGGTTGCCTCTTGCTGGAGGGTCCCAGGGAAGTTAACCACTTCGGGGCTTCTCACTGCTCAGAAGAGATGGGCTTTGAGTAATCCTTTGAGTCTCCATCACCCAGGGGAAGTGGGGTGACAAATCCATGGGGGGGCGAAGCAACACAAAGCAACATAATCATACATATTTTTTTACAAGAACAGACAGGATTTGTTCTTATGAAGCATGTTAAAAATCATGAAAAATACCTCCAACTGCAACTCTGACTGGGAAATCTGTCTGATCAAAGTATTTCCCACTTATTGTCAGTGTGGTGCCACCTTGAATGCTTCCTTTTGAAGGTGAAATTGTAGTGACCTCTGGAAGGGAAAGCACACTAAATAAAATGTCATGAATACTACACATAAACTCAAATGCTTGATTTTTTTCAAAATTTCCAAATTATCTAGCCATAGAACCTAACACAGTGTAGGTAGTGGATGAATGAATGAACGAATTAGGTGTTTCATTATTTTCTCTCTGATGCAATCCTGCAAAGAGAACAATAAACATGGCTTTCTCAGAGACCTGCATTCCATGGGGACCAGGCTTTAATGGGAACTGGTACTAAAGCAACACTGGTAATGGGAGAATGGAGAGAGTAAGGAAAACCTAAGCTACATAAGAAAACACAGGAAGGCAGGTAGAACCTCCTCTTCTCCCATATGCTCTTGATGAATGAATCATTCTTATATTTATGGGCCAACATATTCTATTTTTATTTTTCTTATGTAGAAATACATTTAACTATGATTGGACTTCTTGTAGCTTTGCATATCAAAGTTTTAGATATATTGGTAAAATAGCCCAGTACTGAACATATGGCAGACTCTTTCTAAAATTTATTCTCATTAATTCTACAAAGTTCTAAGTATTATTGCATATGAGCTTCACATTATGTAAGTTTCTAGGAAAAGCCAAGATATATCACATTTGATTGATTCCAGGAAACACATTTTTTCACATTTTAACATCTTTGAAATCAGAATGTGTCTTTCCATCACTGACCTGCAATGAAGTACAATTCTTCCAGGAAGATTTGTGGTTGCTTCTGACACTTATAGGAGAACTATCAACATGAGACCTCTTTAAATTAAATTGACAGGGGAGAATTGAGACATGCTGTCTCTGTTGGTGCGATGAGTTTATTTTTCAATCAATCTCACACTAAGAATGTAGTTTTTGGGGTCCTAACTTTATGCCAGGGCTTTCTATTAGACTCCCTAGCTTAGGCATTTTTCCTTTCCTAGCAGTACATAAAATAATGTAGTACACTTTACAATCATTATTGTCTTTGATTTGATGAAACGAAGTACACATCACCTTGCCCCCCACATACAGAGTAAGAGAAATGTCACATACCTGCATATGTTTGAAACATTGAAATTTTATTGAGAGAAGAAACAAAATATGCCATTTTCTGTGGGAAACTCCTGTTTTTTAAAAAAAGTAAAATTTTCTGCATTAAAAGTGATCTTTATTTTAGGAATTCTTTTTTTTTTATCTTTTATTTTTGTGATGCGAATTATGTTATAATTTGCCAAGGAGCAGAATAGTACTTTTGGAGGGAGATCAAAATGTTCTATATCTTAATTTGATTGTTGGTTGCACATGTATATACATTTGTCAGAACTTACTGAACTGCACTTAAAATATGTACATTTTATTATGTGCAAATTATACCTCCCTAAAGTTGATTTTAAGAAATTATGTTGACATTGAAGAAAACCAGTCAGGAGGACTTCTTCGTAAAGGGTGGCTCTTCTACTGACCACCCCATGCCCTCTTCTCTTAGAACCCATTTAGGTTCTAAGAGAAGGTATCATGATGAGAGCTTTCAGTCTATTATGAAATTTGATCTTTACATCAACCACATGTGGTAGATAGAATTCAGAGAATGGACTTAACCTACTCAAGATCACAAAGCAAGTGGCAGAAACAGAACAGGAGTACAGTCAATTTGAGTCCTAACCTGTGACTGCACAATGTTCCTCCGCTGCTCACTAAATTGTGTGAAAGTACAGGTGGATAAATGCAAATTAACAACAAGCTACCAGGTTTAAATCATCCTTAATAAACGCAGAGACTGCTTGTATTTCTTGACAGGTACACACGTGCATTTCCATAACCTGGAGCATTACGAAGGGAAAGAATCCTAGAAATTAAATGATTTTCCCTTAATTACCTCAAAGAAATTCACAATTAGATGAGGTAAGAAATTCAAATATTAAGACTCAACACCCATTCATCATAATAATAATTCAGTGAACTAGACTCTAAAAGGACAATGCAAATCTTGTGGTTGAGGCAACAATGAACCCTCCTGTAAGTTTAACCCAGTCATTACAATGTGCATTTGCAAAACTAAGGAGTCTCTGGAAATATTTTATGCTAAATTAGTTATTTAAGAAGTTCATACTGGATTTTATATTTCTATGTTGTTAGCCTTTCAGTTGATTTCCCAAAGGTTTACACCATGCTAGCTCCAACAATATTGTGCCTGCTCAGATTCTGCATTTCATTAACTCAGTTTCTTGAGTTAGTGGGGAATTGCCTCCTGAAATAAAACTTGAATATAATTTGTTTTGGATGACACTGAGGTGATTTTCACTAATTCATTGATAATAACTAGGCATTTGTCAAAGCAGCCTCCTCCGAACCTTATCAGTTTGGAGCAGCTGTTGTTTGAACTAGGGGTAATAGAGGAGAGAAGGTTGGCTATTAAAAAAGATGCAGAATGGGTACCACAATGGTCTTTAATTGGTTCATTAGATATTCAGCAATGCTCCTGAAACTTGTAAAATACGAGTTTTATAATTTATAAAATGATTGAATATTTTAAAATGCCATTAACAGTTATCTTAAGTGCCTAACAATATTTTATATAGAAACACAATTTCCTGAATTTTGAGACTTTCATACAAAAGGATAGTCATTGGCTTAAAAAAGAAAAAAAAGGAATTATNTTAATTCTACAAAGTTCTAAGTATTATTGCATATGAGCTTCACATTATGTAAGTTTCTAGGAAAAGCCAAGATATATCACATTTGATTGATTCCAGGAAACACATTTTTTCACATTTTAACATCTTTGAAATCAGAATGTGTCTTTCCATCACTGACCTGCAATGAAGTACAATTCTTCCAGGAAGATTTGTGGTTGCTTCTGACACTTATAGGAGAACTATCAACATGAGACCTCTTTAAATTAAATTGACAGGGGAGAATTGAGACATGCTGTCTCTGTTGGTGCGATGAGTTTATTTTTCAATCAATCTCACACTAAGAATGTAGTTTTTGGGGTCCTAACTTTATGCCAGGGCTTTCTATTAGACTCCCTAGCTCAGGCATTTTTCCTTTCCTAGCAGTACATAAAATAATGTAGTACACTTTACCATCATTATTGTCTTTGATTTGATGAAACGAAGTACACATCACCTTGCCCCCCACATACAGAGTAGGCATTTTTCCTTTCCTAGCAGTACATAAAATAATGTAGTACACTTTACAATCATTATTGTCTTTGATTTGATGAAACGAAGTACACATCACCTTGCCCCCCACATACAGAGTAAGAGAAATGTCACATACCTGCATATGTTTGAAACATTGAAATTTTATTGAGAGAAGAAACAAAATATGCCATTTTCTGTGGGAAACTCCTGTTTTTTAAAAAAAGTAAAATTTTCTGCATTAAAAGTGATCTTTATTTTAGGAATTCTTTTTTTTTTATCTTTTATTTTTGTGATGCGAATTATGTTATAATTTGCCAAGGAGCAGAATAGTACTTTTGGAGGGAGATCAAAATGTTCTATATCTTAATTTGATTGTTGGTTGCACATGTATATACATTTGTCAGAACTTACTGAACTGCACTTAAAATATGTACATTTTATTATGTGCAAATTATACCTCCCTAAAGTTGATTTTAAGAAATTATGTTGACATTGAAGAAAACCAGTCAGGAGGACTTCTTCGTAAAGGGTGGCTCTTCTACTGACCACCCCATGCCCTCTTCTCTTAGAACCCATTTAGGTTCTAAGAGAAGGTATCATGATGAGAGCTTTCAGTCTATTATGAAATTTGATCTTTACATCAACCACATGTGGTAGATAGAATTCAGAGAATGGACTTAACCTACTCAAGATCACAAAGCAAGTGGCAGAAACAGAACAGGAGTACAGTCAATTTGAGTCCTAACCTGTGACTGCACAATGTTCCTCCGCTGCTCACTAAATTGTGTGAAAGTACAGGTGGATAAATGCAAATTAACAACAAGCTACCAGGTTTAAATCATCCTTAATAAACGCAGAGACTGCTTGTATTTCTTGACAGGTACACACGTGCATTTCCATAACCTGGAGCATTACGAAGGGAAAGAATCCTAGAAATTAAATGATTTTCCCTTAATTACCTCAAAGAAATTCACAATTAGATGAGGTAAGAAATTCAAATATTAAGACTCAACACCCATTCATCATAATAATAATTCAGTGAACTAGACTCTAAAAGGACAATGCAAATCTTGTGGTTGAGGCAACAATGAACCCTCCTGTAAGTTTAACCCAGTCATTACAATGTGCATTTGCAAAACTAAGGAGTCTCTGGAAATATTTTATGCTAAATTAGTTATTTAAGAAGTTCATACTGGATTTTATATTTCTATGTTGTTAGCCTTTCAGTTGATTTCCCAAAGGTTTACACCATGCTAGCTCCAACAATATTGTGCCTGCTCAGATTCTGCATTTCATTAACTCAGTTTCTTGAGTTAGTGGGGAATTGCCTCCTGAAATAAAACTTGAATATAATTTGTTTTGGATGACACTGAGGTGATTTTCACTAATTCATTGATAATAACTAGGCATTTGTCAAAGCAGCCTCCTCCGAACCTTATCAGTTTGGAGCAGCTGTTGTTTGAACTAGGGGTAATAGAGGAGAGAAGGTTGGCTATTAAAAAAGATGCAGAATGGGTACCACAATGGTCTTTAATTGGTTCATTAGATATTCAGCAATGCTCCTGAAACTTGTAAAATACGAGTTTTATAATTTATAAAATGACTGAATATTTTAAAAATGCCATTAATAGTTATCTTAAATGCCTAACAATATTTTATATAGAAACACAATTTCCTAAATTTTGAGACTTTCATACAAAAGGATAGTCATTGGCTTAAAAAAGAAAAAAAAGGAATTATTTGAATATTTTAAAATGCCATTAACAGTTATCTTAAGTGCCTAACAATATTTTATATAGAAACACAATTTCCTGAATTTTGAGACTTTCATACAAAAGGATAGTCATTGGCTTAAAAAAGAAAAAAAAGGAATTATAAATCAAGATCACAGAATCAACAATTTAATGTAGTGTCTTTGCCTATATTATGTGTGAATTTTCTAGCATTTTTAAATTGAAAGTTTCTGGGCATGTTAATGCACTATATTGATTTATGTATACTTATCATTCACATTCAACCTTGAACACTCAAATCTTCTATTTTTGGATAATTATTTCTCTGAGAGACATATGATGGATTTGGTAATTAATATCTTTCATACAGACTCAATTAAAAATTCTTTTTTTTCTACCTTAAAAAGAGTGATACTGAGAACATAAAAGGACCATATATAGTTCAGGAAATCATCTAAAGCTTAATAAGTACTGGCCACCTGCCTAAAAAATAAAAATAAAAAAGTAATAAATAAAACAATAATCGTTGCTTCTAATATGGTTTTCTAATATTTTTGATAAAATCCTATTGCCTTATCTTATCAATTTATATATAAATATGTTGTGTCCTTGTAGACAATAACTGTTAATTCATGTAAATCACAAAGGTGTATCCTAGTATCATTTGCATATCTTCCACTTTAATTTGCTTTTGAATTATGCCACTTTATATGGTTTTGGTCTATTCTATGTTCATCTGTGATGAAGTGTTGATTCCAGACATCACTTTCTTACAAACCTATTGCCTCTAGGTATCTAGATCTAAGTGGTCTCTAAATACAATGATAGTGGATTTGGTCTCACTAACTCAATTGCAGTTCCGTGCATGGAGAGACCAAATCTCATCCTTGCGGTCTGTGAACATTGACCAAGCATAACATCTATTTTGATTGTAGTATTGTCATTCTTCTCAAACTTCCGATCATTGAGTCTCTCTTCAGAAAACAAAAAAGAAATCAACAAACTTATCCTTTTGTTGATGTACAACAGCTATATTAATATCAGATGCTAAATACTGTGATTTATTTGCATCTCTGTCAACTGGCTCATTTTCTCAGTGGGAAGCATTATGACATGCTGCACAGAATAATTCATTTAGGTTTGGCATATTACAGTCCAGTCCACTAAAAGCCATTAACATACCCAATTGCTGTGACAGCCAAGAAATGCCCCCACTATTTGCAAATGCTCTCAAGAGTGGAATAATCCTGCCATGGTAGAGAATCCTGGATCAGGATGTTAAGTAATGAGACGTGGTACTGGTGGCTGAAACCCTCCATCAGTTACGGCAGAGCACTGTAGTAAAATGCTTGGGGCCTGGAGTTTGACTGCATGGGTTATCATACTAATGCTGTTTCCTACTAGCTGAATATCCTTGGGCAAATTATTTAACATTCCTAAGTCTCATTTTCCCAGTGGGTAACATGGGGTGGATGATAGCATTCAATTTATAGGTTCTTGGGAGGATTAAACTAGATAATATAGGTAAGGTGCTTAACCCCATGCCTACCACTAAATGTTCACTATTATGATCTATAATATGAGGTTTGCAACATGTATTGAGATTTGCATATTCTGAAACTTCTATAAATGTATTGATGGTCTTTCTCACTGAACTTAGGATGTAGGACATCTGAAAATGAGTCCTAGTTTTATGGAAAATTGTAAGTATAGGTTATTACATTGGTTTTAAGGTGCACAATTTAAAGATATAACTACCATCTTTCACTACTCTTTTTGTCTTGATATCTTAAAAGAAAACCTTTATCAGGTAATATTAACTGTGAGGTTTTATTTATTCTTATATCAGTTCAAATCAAACTTTATTTTAGTTATCAAAAGAATTACCATTAAATCAGAAGAGCTGCAAGACGTAAAATAACATTTTTCCATATTACAATTAAATATTCTAAAATTTGTTGTTGTCTAATTAATGCTTGGTTTCCCAACAATTAAATGGTCATGTGCAAGGCGCAAATTATGAGTTAAAGGGAGTTACAGATCCTTTAAATGTTAATTCTGGGGAAGAAAGTGATTAAATTTTTAATCTCTGCATCAACAGCACAAATTAATATATACAATTTTATTTACCCAGTTGAATAAATTAAGAAAATTATTGTTTACAAAATGACCTACCTTCCATAATCACTGTCTAAGATGAAGCTGACATTGTGATGACCTGGAATTAATTAAAATACACAATCAATTAAGTTACCAATCACATGATAATAATAACTCTATATTATAAAGCTGATTTAAAAGCAGAGAAAAAATATAAAATCAAAAATGTACTTATGCAATCACCTGTTAAGTGTCAAAGAAATGAAAACTGAACTATCTTAAAGAAGTACACACAATTTAAAAATATACATAATATGGTGTCTCGAGATTATAACTAGAAAAACCTGAAAAAATATCATCATGAATGAAGAATAATAAAAGAACATACATGTAACCATGTTGCCCTGACATTTTTTGTTCATACAACGTCTATTTAATTGTTCAGACACTCTGCTAGGGATTGAGAAATGCAGGGTGAACACACAGCTTGCCTTCTACCAAAATGTAATGTCTAA